GTGTGTGTGTGTGTGTGTGTGTGTGTGTGTGTGTGTGTGTGTGTGTGTGCGCGCGTGTGTCTGTGCGCGTGTGTCTGTGCGCGTGTTTGCCTGCTCGTTAGGTGGTGTGTCGCTTTGGGTGTTTGCTGCTACTGAAGACGATTTAACACACAGTTTGGTAAAAGGACAGAGGGAGTTGTTTCTCACTGACCAGGGGTTGTCCTGGAATATGATGGAGTTCAAAGATTTCCAGAATAGACTGGCACATTCTCTGGAGCACTCAGTGGAAATTTTCAAATTTGTGAGTTTACCGGAGCAAACTTATTTTACAAATTGCTGAGAAACAGCATTAGAGGAAGAACTTGGCTGACGATCTATCTGCCGTCCATTTGATAATTTTTTTTCTGGCATCCCCCCTCTATTTCCTTTGACATTGAAACACTTCCTGAGCTGAACTGTTTTCCTCTCACCTCCCTCACTCTAACTGAGCCTCCGACCGAAGTCCAAATTGACACGTTACCGATTAGAATCTCCAGTCTTTTTTTATGGCCGGGTTTTTAGAAGGTGCAGGGCATCATCTTCTCTACATGACATCATGCGGGCGAGCTGGAGATGTGGTTTGTGCCTCTCATCTGGTAGCGTTACATTCAGAGTCACACAGCTAAATGTAGCCACTCACGCTGACTGCTGCTCTGACGGTAGTTCCACTATCAGCAAGAAGTCTTCCCACCATCTGAATTGGCAAAAAAATAAATTTGAAATGTCCTTGCCTAATTTAAACGTTGTGAAACTAAATGTTAACTTTTTATCAGTTCACTATATTGACGTTCATGAAAATACTTTACTGGCTACCTCGATAGAAAACACGTTTTTTAATTTAGTCTTTAGTTTTTTGAGGATTTTGTTATACCTGCAGAACAGTATTGCGTATTGTTAAATGACCTTTGATGTTCTTGTTTTGTTTTGTGTATTTTATTTTTTATATTGAAAGTCGCTCGCTATTTATTCTTCTGACAAACTTGAGTGTTAGCTCTGTGATTCAAACGTAATACATGAGAGGCACAAGCTGCAGCCTGGGTGGAACGAGTTATTGATGGCCACATTAAAGGGACAGTTCACGCCCAAATCAAAACTATGTACGTTTCTCTTTACCTGTAGAGCTATTTATCAATCTAGATAGTTTTCGTTTGAGTTGAGTAGTTTTAGAGATATCGGTTTCAGAGGCATCTGCCTTCTCTCCAATATGATGAGACCATTCTCACTTGTTGGGAGCAGTTTCATGAAGGAACTGTGGGTGAAAGAAAATAGTTCCTACATAAACAAAAAAAAGACGGTGCTGTTGTGTTTTTCAAAATGGTATTTTTGGGGCACTTTGAGCTCCACAAGAGTGTCGTATAGTCCCATTACATTAGAGGCACAATATCTACAAAACTGACATCAAAACAATCTAGAGTGATAAATTGCTCTACAGGTGAGAGGAAAAATATGTAGTTTTGATTTTGGGTTGAACAGTCCCTTAATATTGCTCAGAGTCACTAGTCTTTAGTAGTTGGAAGCAGCAGGGTTTTTTGTTGGTCTTCAGATCCACAGGGTGGTGGGGAGGTGTGTCAGTTTCATCCCCAGGACGGGGCCCCCTTCTTTTGGGCTGGGACCGTGCTCACTGCCCCCCTCTCCCTGTTGCAGGATGATCAAGGAGCACCCCCTGCCCCCGGGCTGGGAGATGAAGTACACCGCCGAGGGAGTCCGATATTTTGTGGACCACAACTCGCTCACCACCACCTTTAAAGACCCCCGACCCGGGTTTGAGTCAGGGTAAATATTCTCTCAGCCCTTCCTCCCGAAACCTGCTTCTAGTGTGTCACAGGCAGAGGCTAAGGCGGTCTGAGGAAGTGATCTCTGTCACTCAAAAACACTTGAAATCAACTTCTTATTCAAATTATTTCACAATGATTTTGCCTCGGTCTGACATTGCAAATATCTACTTAAACACTCATGGTGTGAAAACTTTAAAAGATCATGAAAAAAGGTAAAAACTTTATCTTAATCATATTTTTAATTTATATCTTCATTGCATGTTTTATCCATTACCTTTCATTTCTAATTCTAAATATTTCACACACACACACACACACCCCCATACACACCTCTTCCCCTCAGCCTTGCCTTGAAGCGGTCTCAAGTCTCCCCGCAGAAGTCAGGAGAATGTGCAGATCCACTGCAGACTGCATTGGCGTGTGTGCGGGCGCACTTGTCTTTTCAGTTTGTATTAGCTTGTGGCGTGTGTGTGTGCGTGCGTGTGCGTGCGTGCGTGCATCTGCAAGCTGCTTTCCATGCTGATATCTAAACGTATATGTGGTTACGGAGGGCTTCACTGTTCTTACTCCGGATCCTACAGCGCTCCGCCACCACGGTCTCCATTTCCTAACCTCAAACCGAGACGAACCCGGCAGCTCGGAGAGCACGAAAGCCAGACGCATTAGAGGCCTCCTTCCTCTTCTTCATCATCTCCCTCTCCTCCCATTAGCTCTCTAACTCTCTCTCTCCGGGTCTCAGCCTCTCTGGTGCTGACAAGGCACATATCCAGCGTGTGTGAGTGAGTGTGTGTGCATGCGTGCAGTGGGTTGGTGGAGCTTATACTAACACAGCTGCAGGCCCAGACTCACCTCTGTGTTTGAGACCCAGACACACCGAGTTGTGACTGAGAACAGAAGGGCCGGTGTGAACTTGATATTCACGTTGAGTTTCTGGCCAGCAAACCTGGAACATAAGTGATTCTTAATTACACTGAACCCGGAGCAGTTTCAGGGTGTTTTTTTGTTTGTTTTTTACTCGTGTCACATTTCACTTACTGAGGCCTCGTTTTTCACCTGTATGTAAACGGCACAGAATTAAAACATGTCTTTTGTGCAGTACAACACAGTTATAATGCCGTATATAATTTAGATAATTTATTTTACATTCATTTGAAAACAATGGAATCTATATACCAAACATTTTGTCCACATGCTATATACATTGCACTATTCACATTTGTATAACCTCTTCTCACAACCTCTCCTCTCTGCTCTGTGTTCAGCAGCCTGCAGTTCAGGCAAAGTTTCCCAGATTTGACTGTTAGTCTCAGCCGAGTCAATCATGGCTCCACAGTTACGCTGAGGAGTGCAGAATCAAATCTTTTTTTTCAGGATCTGGTTAGAGTAAATGGTTTATTTTGGGCAACATCGTAAATGAGAGATGTAGAGTAAATGGTTTGGATAAAATAACACAGTTTTGAGTCGCGCATAATGTGTTCAAGGACCATCAGAAAGGTGATAATCCGCTGATAATGTCTGTTTTTACAGCTTTAGGCTATGATAAACGGTGTCATTTTGGTGAATTTTATAAAGAGAAAACATGTTTTTCAAATCCTCTGGCCGTTTTTGGAGGTTCAGAGCTTTAAAGGAGACCAACACGTTTCTGTTGATCAGCTGACCAATAAAGAGTTGACAACATAAAACATCAAGGCCCTCCGATAGTTTGTTTTGGATTATTAACTCTGGAATTATTCAATCAAGATTCTCAATGGATTTCACTTTGACAGTGTGAAAAATGACAGAATCCCTTCCTTTTCTCTCTCTCTCTCTCTGTGTGTGTGTGTGTGTGTGTGTGTGTGTGTGTGTGTGTGTGTGTGTGTGTGTGTGTGTGTGT